TGGACAAGCACCTAAAGTCGGTTCCTGACCAGCCGGGCTGTGGCTCGTACGTTGGTTTGCATGCAGCCAGCAGCAACAGCCTGGTTGATCAGGCTCTGATCCACCAGGAGGCATGGTCACAGACCGGGCCGCGGGGGCGTTGACCCCCGGAACTCTCTCCAGGTAAACTCCAGTATAGAGTATAGTATATACTCGTATATATGTATAAGGTGTCCTGTAGCTAGATTGATAGCGCACTCGGCTTACACACTGAGGTCCTTGGTTCGACCCCAGTACAGGTGAAAAACAGGACGTATTTCCTTAAGACACCTGCTGTCCATGTTCACCCATCAGTAAAATTGGTACCTGGGTGTTAGTGGACTGGTGTGGGTCGCATCTGGGACAAAATTGACCTAATTTGCGGGAAATGCTCTGCATAACGAGCGGCTTTCTATATAGTAGTATGTTACTGATGTCAGCTATGGTCTGTATACCTTGTACATGTAGAAATAAATATTATTAGTGATAGGTATTAGTCCTAGGCAGGAACACTGACAAGTGCTTACACCAGGCTGGTTAACACCCACTAGTTTCTACACTGACAAGTGCTTACTCCAGGCTGGTTAACACCCACTAGTTACTACACTGACAAGTGCTTACACCAGGCTGGTTAACACCCACTAGTTACTACACTGACAAGTGCTTTCACCAGGCTGGTTAACACCCACTAGTTACTACACTGACAAGTGCTTACACCAGGCTGGTTAACACCCACTAGTTACTACACTGACAAGTGCTTACACCAGGCTGGTTAACCCCCACTAGTTACTACACTGACAAGTGCTTACGCCAGGCTGGTTAACACCCACTAGTTACTACACTGACAAGTGCTTACGCCAGGCTGGTTAACACCCACTAGTTACTACACTGACAAGTGCTTACACCAGGCTGGTTAACACCCACTAGTAACTAGTTACTACCACTCATCCTCATCTAACCATAGCACATAGGTTACAAGAGGTCATTATACATCACATACCCAAAACTGAGCAATATGGCTGATCTCATTAGCTATAACTCTTTTTGGCATCATTGGAAGATCTTACGTCAGCAGGTCCTGACTAAAGTGATGGAGTCACTCATCACGAGTCACCACATAAGCCCACCTCACTGTACCTCAATGCACCCAAAGGAAATATTTTTTTTATAAAGTTTTAGTGCAGGAGAATATTTTCATTTACATGTACTCATCTGTATGTGGTTGTAGGGGTCGAGTCTCAGCTCCTGGCTCACACCTGTTTACCGCTTGCTGTTGATTTCACTCTCCTAGCTTCGAGAACACTGTCGTACCTTTTCCTGAGGTCAGTTATGAACCCTGCCTCTTATCACTTCACTCTCCGGGTCGTTCTACTTCCTGACCATCCTAAGGCTGAAGAAATACTTTCTAGTGTGGGAAATTACCTGCAGGAGGTTTACAGGGTATTACCTCAGTTACTTCCTGCAAGTAATTTGGGTGAGGTAAGTGGGACTTAGTCACAATAAGTCGCCGAACTGTCCACTTATTGAGGAATACAGAGATAGACAGTATAATAACCCATGTGACATGTCAAGATATCTTATTAATGAAAATAAGATACCAGATATACTAAGCAAAATTCCTAAATTTGCTTGTAACAGATAATTGAACTATAGATGTGTAGATATAAATCCATATGTATTCCTGTTAACCCTTTGGGGCCTTGTTCCTAGGCCTTTTGTGTATCCATATGCTCTTGCGCTACCGTCCATAGGATGGATATGCTCTTGCGCTACCGTCCACAGGATGGATATGCTCTCGCGCTACCGTCCACAGGATGGATATACTCTTGCGTTACCGTCCACAGGATGGATATGCTCTTGCGCTACCGTCCACAGGATGGATATGCTCTCGCGCTACCGTCCATAGGATGGATAAACTCTTGCGCTACCGTCCACAGGATGGATATGCTCTTGCGCTACCGTCCACAGGATGGATATGCTCTCGCGCTACCGTCCATAGGATGGATATGCTCTCGCGCTACCGTCCACAGGATGGATATACTCTTTCGCTACCGTCCACAGGATGGATATGCTCTTGCGCTACCGTCCACAGGATGGATATGCTCTTTGCGCTACCGCCATAGGATGGATAAACTCTTGCGCTACCGTCCACAGGATGGATATGCTCTTGCGCTACCGTCCACAGGATGGATATGCTCTCGCGCTACCGTCCACAGGATGGATATGCTCTCGCGCTACCGTCCACAGGATGGTATGCTCTCGCGCTACCGTCCACAGGATGGATATGCTCTCGCGCTACCGTCACAGGATGGATATGCTCTCGCGCTACCGTCCACAGGATGGAATGCCCCTCCCCGCTACCGTTTCCCCAGGATGGATATGCTCTCGCGCTACGTCCAAGGATGGATATGCTCTCGCCCCTACCCACAGGATGGATTGCTCTCCCCGCTACCGTCCACAGGATGGATATGCTCTTGCGCTACCGTCCACAGGATGGATATGCTCTCGCGCTACCGTCCACAGGATGGATATGCTCTCGCGCTACCGTCCACAGGATGGATATGCTCTCGCGCTACCGTCCACAGGATGGATATGCTCTTGCGCTACCGTCCACAGGATGGATATGCTCTCGCGCTACCGTCCATAGGATGGATAAACTCTTGCGCTACCGTCCACAGGATGGATATGCTCTTGCGCTACCGTCCACAGGATGGATATGCTCTCGCGCTACCGTCCACAGGATGGATATGCTCTCGCGCTACCGTCCACAGGATGGATATGCTCTCGCGCTACCGTACAGGATGGATATGCTCTCGCGCTACCGTCCACAGGATGGATATGCTCTCGCGCTACCGTCCACAGGATGGATATACTCTTGCGCTACCGTCCACAGGATGGATATGGGGTGCACAAACTAGCAACTTCGGTGGCAAAATCTAAAAATCTAATCACAAAAAAAACCTAGACCTAACATTAAATTTATAATTAGAATATTTAACATTAATACCAGTAATGGTAAATCATGAAATAATGTGGACTGTAGTATATGATTTTAGGACCTGACTGTTAGAAATGGTTAATGGGAATATTTTTACAGAGACTAGGGAAGGTTTCCTCCTAACCATATTATTAGAACAATAAATTTTATACACATTAACTTACAATTTGTCACAGAAAGACACTTAATGGTGATGGAATACACCCTAACATTACCCTAACAGCTAGAATTTACGATGGCCAATGCAAAAACTACTGTACATTATGGGTAAACATCACTTAACTAAGATGTGCTGCTGGAAAAATCGGTGTCCTCTGTTTTTCCGTCCTTGTTCCGAATTGAAAAGGGTTTTCCACACTATTCCAATTCTTTGCAGAAACGTGTCAGCGGTTTCAAAAATTCGGAGGGAGACTGATATACCCCAAATTTGCCTTTCGAGAACGTTGATTACATTGCACAATTAGCCCAGTTTTTCACACATTAAATTCTTTTTTGGTTCTACTGCCGCGTCTTCCCCGGTGATACCCCCCCCCCCCTTCACTTAAATTTCTGAAGGGTCCAAATACATCCTTTTTAATACGCAATTTTTATTTTTTTTTCATTTATAAATGTTAAATTTTAGGAAAATCAAAATTTTCACATCTAACACCCCCCCCGTGACTCAGTGTTTTCAACTTCCAGTTGTGTCCTCTGTACCTAGGCCCGACTGTTGAACTTTTTTATTAACAAAATTTTTGCCTAAACTACCAGGGGAATACAACGCGCTGGTTGTTGAACACTTTTGGCTTTTCTGTTCTGTCAGTTCCTCTCAAATTTTTTTACATCATCAATCGATTAAAAAACCCTGGAAGACTCGTGTTTTTACATTTACTTAACATTATTAGAGGGAATATAATTTTGTTCAGGGGAAAGGCTCAGCATTTTGTTAATAAAAATAATATAATATATTTCTACAATACATATATAAAAGTTTACAGACCCCTAGTTGACATCAATGACATGCTACGTTTAGAAAGGGGCTTGTTATGTGGCATTTCCCGCAAATTAGCTGTTTTGCCCAGGGTGTGACCCCCACCAGTCCACTAACACCCGGTACCCCTTTTTTGATTTTAAATTCAATTCAATTCAAAATTTATTCCTTAAGGGTTTCAATGCGAGTTTTCAGAAAATTTTTTATTGTGTGGTTTACTGTAGTAAAATATTTACAGAGTGTACCACTAGAAACCCAGCATGGTAGGCATTTCGGGCAGACTTAGATTTTAAACTTAAATTTAAAATATTTCAAATTTTGGGGGAAGTTGGATTTATGGCTAAGTGATAAATACTAATTTGTGAGTTTAGAATGTAAATGCTTTTGTTTTGGCACAATACATAATTTCGTATTGGAGTATCACAGACCAACTTATGACTATTAAGATTCATTTTTTTAAGATTGAGATTGATATTTCTGTTTATGGTCAAATGGGGAGTTTAGTGTAAGTGTGACCCCCAGGTGGGATTCGTGTAATTAGTTGACAGGGTGTATCAGGGAGATAAGATGTTTTCTAATGGTAGTTTTGAAGGTGATGAATGTGTCTGCAGTTCTAGAGTTTTCAGGTAGGGTGTTCCAGATTTTAGGGCCTTTGACATACATTGAATTTTTGTAAAGGTTTAGTCGGACACGGAGAATGTCGTAGAGATGTTTGTGTCTGGTGTTATGCCTGTGGGTTCTGTCACAACTATCAAGAAAGCGTTTTAGGTCAAGGTTAATATTGGAATTTAAGGTCCTGTAGATGTAGATTGCACAGTAGTAAGTGTGGATGTACTGAACAGGGAGTAAGTTTAGATGGGTGAACATAGACAACAGGTGTAAATAAACGCCCAATATTTCTACCTTCACTGGGTATTGATTGTTGTTAATATTAGGTGTTCCTTGTAGACGTTTGTTACTTAATGTGCTGTGGTTAATAGTGTGAGTTGACGTGTATTATGTGCGTGTTTGCAGTGGTTCAGCGCAGAGAACTTCGGTACTTGGTGGAGCGTGTTGACTGCCAGCAGTAATGTGTCTGGTACTCTCTCTCCTCTGCTTGCTGCCTATGTTATCATCAGCCATGGTTGGAGTGCCTCGCTGGTCATCTCAGGTCAGTGATGGACACACCTTCATCTTGCAAATGGTATAAAATACAGACAACAGTTAGGTATCTTTATTGTGGAAATGTATCACCTACACAGTAGGCTTCTTCAGTCAGATACATAGGCAGCAGGTGTAATAGTGAAATGAAGATGATGTAAGCAGTCCATCAGTCTTGGAGAAATAGTATTTGAGGTGGTCAGTCACTCAGCCTGGAGAAGAGTTCAGCTCCAACGATATATCGTTCCAGATCATGGAGATGAACTCTTCTCCAGGCTGAGAGACTTGGCTATCTCAAATAGGGATTTGCCGGTACTTCCGGCCCGGGTCTTCTCCAGATGGTGACCCGACGATCTCAAATACTATTTCTCCAAGACTGATGGACTGATTGCATCATCTTCGTATCACTACTACACCTGCTGCCTTTGCATTTGACTGAAGAAGCCTACTGTGTAGGTGATACATTTCCATAATAAAGATACCTAACTGTTGCACATGTGTCGAGGCGCATAAGTTCCTCTATCTTCTATTGAGATTCATTGTTCCCTGGATGCTGCCTTGTCCATATTAGTTATATTTGGCGGTTGTCGGTTGCGTTAAGTGGGGTGCCTGGTTCGTGGCGTTTCTGGGGTGTGTTCTTGCGGGGTGAGGGGCGGTGGCGGGGGGCTGTCAGCGATTACTCATTGGGGATGATTTGTGGGGGGTTTTGAATAGGCATGTAAAAATTCCTGGGGTTAATATGGGTATTTGGTGTATATTTATTACGTGTTAGATATTTATAAATATGTGTTGATATTTAAAATTGTGTATGATTTTTATAAATATGTGTATAGTATTTAAAAATATGTGTATAGCATATTTATAGATATGTGTAGAAAATAGATATGTGTATAGATATTTATAATATTGTATTTATAGATTATGTATAGTATAAATATGTGAAATCTATTGAAGATATGGTATAGATATTTTAGATGTATAGATATTTAAGATATGATTGTTCGCTACTTTATCTGTTAGATATTTATGGGTAGGGTATAGCATTTAGATGTGTATGATATTTTACAATATGTGTATAGATTTGTCTATATGTGTATAGTATATAGATATATGTTAGCTATTTATAGTATTGTCGTACAATTACGCTATATGTATAGATCTTTATATTATGTATGGATTTTATATGAATATATGTATAGATTTTTCCCTAATATTATGATGCTTTTTTATAGATCATTGTATAGTTTAATCATATGTCTATTTATGATATTTATAATTTATTGAATACTTCACCTAAACTCTCACCATGTACTTACTTATAATACCTCAACATAACCTCACATATTTTCTCACAAACACTCACCATACCTCACAAACACTCACTTTACACTCACAAACACTCATACACTCACAAACCTCACATATCACTCACAACATCCCCACATATACACTCACACACATATACACTCACAATACACACATATCTCAAACACCCACATCATTCACAAACACTCACATTACATCACAAACACACACACACACTCACAAAATACTCACACAATACACTCACAAACACCCACACATACATTCACAAACACCCACATATACACTCACAAAACACCCACACATTACACTCTACAAAACACTCACATATACACTCCACAAACACCCACACATACACTCACAAACACAAACTTATACACTCACAAGCACACACATACACTCACAAAACACCCACATTACACTCACAAACACTCACATATACACTCACAAACACCACACATACACTCACAAACACTCACACATACACTCACAAACACCACACATACACTCACAAAGACACCACATCATTATCACAAAACACCACATTATACACTCACAAACACATGCATACAAACACCCACATTACATCACAAACACCCACACATACACTCACAAACACCCACACATACTCACAAACACCAAATATACACTACAAACATGCATACAAACATCACATTACACTCACAAAACACCCCACATACATCACAAACACTCACACATACACTCACAAACACCACACATACATCACAAACACCCACACATACAAACACCAACATATACACTCCAACAATGCATACAACACCACATATACACACAAACACCCCTATACACTCACAAACCCACATATACATCACAAACACCCACATATACACTCACAAACACACACATACACACTCACAAACACCCACATACACACTCACAAACACACACATATACTCACAAACACCCACATATACACTCACAAACACCCACATATACACTCACAAACACACACATACACACTCACAAACACCCACATATACACTCACAAACACCCACATATACACTCACAAACACCCACATATACACTCACAAACACACACATACACACTCACAAACACCCACATATACACTCACAAACACCCACATATACACTCACAAACACCCACATATACACTCACAAACACACACATACACACTCACAAACACCCACATATACACTCACAAACACCCACATATACACTCACAAACACACACATACACACTCACAAACACCCACATACACACTCACAAACACACACATATACTCACAAACACCCACATATACACTCACAAACACCCACATATACACTCACAAACACACACATACACACTCACAAACACCCACATATACACTCACAAACACCCACATATACACTCACAAACACCCACATATACACTCACAAACACACATACACACTCACAAACACCCACATATACACTCACAAACACCCACATATACACTCACAAACACCCACATATACACTCACAAACACCCACATATACACTCACAAACACCCACATATACATTCACAAACACCCACATATACACTCACAAACACCCACATATACATTCACAAACACCCACATATACACTCACAAACACACACTCACAAACACCCACATATACACTCACAAACACACACATACACACTCACAAACACCCACATATACACTCACAAACACCCACATATACACTCACAAACACCCACATATACACTCACAAACACACACATACACACTCACAAACACCCACATATACACTCACAAACACACACATACACACTCACAAACACCCACATATACACTCACAAACACACATACACTCACAAACACGCATACACTCACAAAAACACACATACTCACAAACACATACACTCACAAACACACCCACTCAAATATCCTAATTCTCTTAATATACTACTGAGTTTTATGATGGAGTAAATAAATTATACAATAATATATTAGATAGAAAAACTTTACTTGGATTTATAAAAGTTTATAGTAGTTACCCATTATAAAGTTTATAATAGTTATCCATTATAAAGTTTATAATAGTTATCCATTATAAAGTTTATAATAGTTATCCATTATAAATTTTATAATAATTATTCATTATAACGTTTATAATAGTTATCCATTATAAAGTTTATAATAATTATCCATTATAAAGTTTATAATAGTTATCCATTATAAATTTTATAATAATTATTCATTATAACGTTTATAATAGTTATCCATTATAAAGTTTATAATAATTATCCATTGTAAAGTTTATAATAGTTATCCATTATAAAGTTTATAATAGTTATCCATTATAAAGTTTATAATAGTTATCCATTATAAAGTTTATAATAAAGTAGACTAGAAATTATGTATTATAGAAGTGAAAGAAAATATTGACAAGACCCAAACATCTTTTGTGAAGAACTTGTGAACAGTGATGTCACTAGTGGTGTTCTACTAGGATGATGTCACTAATGGTGTTCCACTAGGATGATGTCACTGGTGGTGTTCCACTAGGATGATGTCACTGGTGGTGTTCTACTAGGATGATGTCACTAGTGGTGTTCTACTAGGATGATGTCACTAGTGGTGTTCTACTAGGATGATGTCACTAGTGGTGTTCTACTAGGATGATGTCACTAGTGGTGTTCCACTAGAATATCACTAGTGGTGTTCCACTAGGATATCACTAGGGTGTTCCACTAGAATGATGTCACTAATGGTGTTCCACTAGGATGATGTCACTGGTGGTGTTCCACTAGGATGATGTCACTGGTGGTGTTCCACTAGGATGATGTCACTAGTGGTTTTCCACGGTATTTGGCTCTTGAGTTCTGAGGTCATAGTTGATGTGTGTGTTTCAGGTCTGCTGTCACTGGTGATAGCAGCAGTGACGTTAGTGACAGTGGTGGATGACCCCGTCCATGTTCACCTCCCTAACCCCAACACCACCACTACAACCTCAACCATCAACCCAACACACTCCATCACAACCCCACCTTCCAACAGTGAGTCTACCTTCTCATGTAGCAATACTTGAAAGCCCAAGTAAGACACAGGTACAGGAATTAGGTCTCTTTATTCCGAAACGTTTCGCTTACACAGTGTATTCTTCAGTCGATGTGATAAATGGTTTAAAACCGACAAGTTGAAGATTGAGACAATTATACAACATATGGGAATCTTTATTGAAGAAACGTTTCGCCACACATTGGCTTCATCTGTCCAATACAAAGCAGAAATGTGTAGTTTTAAGGTTGTTAGTCCTTTAGGACTGACAACCTTAAAACTACGTCTTCAAGGGTAATGGACTGATGATATCGTCTTCACATCTCTACTGCTTCTGCTGCTTCCTCTGTACTCGACTGGAGAAGCCTAATGTGAAGGCGAAACGTCTCGGAATAAAGATACCTAACTCTTGCACGTCTTATTAATACTGATACTATGCAGTTATAGCTGCTTAGTGAGGTTTAAATCCTGTCGACTACACGATGGTCATTAAGGCTTCATATTAGCTGTCAGCTACCAGTCAGAAATATTTAAAACCCTAAATCAGGGATTAAAGTCAACTCTCAGTGTGAATGCACTGACAGATATACATTAATTCCACATTGATGTTACCTACTTAGAAGAAAGCTGACATTGTTACTGAGAGAGAATTATATTTTTTTTACAATGGTATAGAATTTTTCCCTGACATAATTTGAGTATGTCTGTTCTAGTGGTTGATGTTTCATCCACTGGATACCGACCAACAGGTTTTCACTTTACTGATAAAGATTACATATTTCTTAACCTAGGTAATGTACCTGTGATCGTTGTGTTAACATCCACTTTATGATGTTTCCACTGAAATACTTCTCTTGGGTTATGTTTCTGAATAAATAAAACAAAACTTCCAGGAAGAAAAGTATTTATATTAATATTATAAATATTGAAATAGTTGATTTGAATTAATTTTAGTGAAAATACGTCCTCAAATACACTTAAAACGCACGTATGTTCCCTCGTCTTCTAATAACATGTTCATTTTTCCACTATAATCTACCTTGTCTATAATTTCGCATTTGTCTGTTTGTTGTAGATGTCTGAGCACAGTTCGGACATCTACAACACTATTGTCAACAAGATTTGTTAAGTTATACCATGAATTAAAGAAAGATCCTGGACTTCACCTTACGAAACAGACAAAGAAAATGCGAAATTATAGACAAGGTAGATTATAGTGAAAAATTAACATGTTATTAGAAGATGGGGGAATATACGTGCCTCTTAAGTATTGTAAGTTTATTTAGGTACAAGTACACGTAAGTACAATTACACAGATGCAAGTTATTATACATAGTAACATATATGTAAATTACCCACTAGGATAACCCAAAAAAAGTCAGAAGTAACTTATTTGTTAAGTTTTTGACCAATCATACAACCACAGAGGTACTTCCCATATTACATTACTCGCTAACACTAGAAAGATCATGGCTGAGGGATCACAAGCGGCATTTCTTGTACAAGTAATATGGTTATATTACAGAGAACGATGAGAGTGAGAAGATGACTGTGAAGGAGTTAGCATCATCACCATTCCTGTGGCTGGTGGCTGCCTGCTACCTGGTGGTCTTCTGTACTAAGACTGCACTCTCAGACTGGGGACAGATCTTCCTCATGGCTGAGCTGGGACGGTCCCAGATGCAAGGTGAGACACTCGGGTTTTCTGCAAGGTGTGGTGGTGAGAGAGAGGTTCACTCACCAGGTACTCTCCCTCATTCTCTGTGACGGCATGTATTGCTTCATACCTTGAAAGATATTTAGTCTTCCATACTGTAAATAAGTCTGCATGCAGTAATAGCGAACATGTGATACAAGAATGATAGCTCTAGGCTTCTCATTTTGCAATCAACACATTTTCAGGAGCTTGCAATGTTGCAAAAATGAGTAGGAAGTCCAGGTAGAGTCATTCAAGGAACGAAATGACTTCCTACTCATTTCTGCAACATTACAAGCTCCTGAAGATGTGTTGATTGTAACACAAAAGGCCTAGAGATATTCAGCACCCCCCGTGGTTGTTCTGCGTAAGTCTGCATGTTAGTATATACTTGCAACTCCGAAGTAAATACCCTGGAGTATACCTGGAGGATGTTTCAGGGGTCAACGCCCCCGCGGCCCGGTCTGTGACCAGGCCTCGTGGTGGATCATGGCCTGATCAACCAGGTTGTTACTGCTGGCCACGTGCAAACCGACTTACGAACCACCGCCCAGCTGGTCAGGTATTGACTTTAGGTGCCTGTCCAGCACCATCTTAAAGACAGCCAGCGGTCTATTGGTAAACCCCCTTACGTATGCTGGGAGGCAGTTGAACGGTCTTGGGCCCCAGACACTTATTGTCTCGTAGCATATTCATGGCGCCCCTGCTTTTCATTGGGGGGGATGTTGCATCTCCTGCGTTCCAGGGAGTACAGGTTAAGGAACTTCAACCGTTCCCAGTAATTTAAGTACTTTACTTATATCCTGTAGTTTATATTTGCATTATTTGTCACTGGAGTGACCTAGCATTCCTTAACTTCCTGGTATAAGATAAGATATGCTTTAAGTACTCTCTAGGCCTCTTTTGTTGTTTTTATCTGTTACGTAAGTTACTGCTAATCTAACCTTAATGATAACCTGTTTATTTAACCCATAAATTAATCATTATGACTCAGTGATAACGTGTTCCCGAGATAGCATTTATCGTGCCTTACATCTCAAGAGAGGTTCCGTGATGCTGGTGAGGGGCTCTTGATCTAGGGAATTGGATCTGTGCTCCAGTTCCCTAAATTAAACCGGAATACCTTCCACATTCCCCACAGGCGCTGTATAATCCTACGGGTTTAGCGCTTCCCCCTGATTATAATAATAATAATTATCCTGCCTTATTAATGATGACATATTTACATAACTCAATAAATCATAATTAAACATTGTAAACAAACCAGGGAATGGATGAAGGTTCAAACCCTACTCCTTCCCTGGTTTATATTTATACAGCACATAAATCAGTGTTTATCCTACCTTAATGATAACTCATTCGTGCAATGTGATTTATCGATTATCCATCATTAATAACAATTATGTGTGTCTACAGCTAGTTCCTTCACCAGTGCCATGGAGACTGGCGGCTTCTTCGGGGGCATCCTGGCTGGTCTGCTCACTGACAAGATGGTCAGAAAGGTACTGCATCCTCTCGTATATAATAATAATAATAATAAACTTTTATTTTTACAAGTACATGTACAAGGTATACAGGCCTAGCTGACATCAGTGACATGCTACCGTAGAGAAAGCTTGTTATGCAGGGCATTTCGGGCTAATTAGGTCAATTTTGTGCCCAGGATGCGACCCACACCAGTCGACTAACACCCAGGTATATCACAGGCAGCGACTCTGCTCAATGTCTCTTATAGACAGCTATTCTGCTCCCAACTGTAAAGATAAAGAACGAATCTGTTCATAATTCCATGATAGATTTCTGTTATCACCTTTTTTCAGTCACTGGGCTATTTTACTCTCAGCTTCTCTTACAGATGTAGTGCTACTCTGCTTGAAAGTCTGCAATAGAAGCATTGCTATACTACTCAAAGCCTTTGCAGTAGATACAAGGCTAGTTTACTTTCTACTTCTGCATTAGACAAAACTATTCTGCTCTCAGTTTCTGCAGTAGTTGCGGGGCTGTTCTGTTCTAACCTACCCAACACACAGTGCTATTCTCTTCCTAAATTCTGCAATAGACAGTTTTGTTCTCAGATTTTTTAATGGACTTTGTCATACTTTACTCTCAACTTTTGCAACAGACAGCTATATTCTGTCCTCAACTTCTGCAACAGGCAACTCTATTCTGTCCTCAACTTCTGCAACAGACAGCTCTATTCTGTCCTAACTTCTGCAACAGACAACTCTATTCTCTCCTCAACTTTTGCAACAGACAGCTCTATTCTGTCCTCAACTTCTGCAACAGACAGCTCTATTCTGTCCTCAACTTCTGGAACAGACAGCTCTATTCTGTCCTCAACTTCTGCAACAGACAGCTCTATTCTGTCCTCAACTTCTGCAACAGACAGCTCTATTCTGTCCTAACTTCTGCAACAGACAACTCTATTCTCTCCTCAACTTTTGCAACAGACAGCTCTATTCTGTCCTCAACTTCTGCAACAGACAGCTCTATTCTGTCCTCAACTTCTGCAACAGACAGCTTTATTCTGTCCTCAACTTCTGCAACAGACACAGTTCAGTTTTGCTCTAAGTTAGTGCGGTACAATTTTATTCCACTTTCAACTTCAATAAACAGTCTTCTGTTTTACCTCAACTTTTGTATTAGATAGGCCTATTCTACCATCAGTATTATTGTATTATACATCAGTATCATTGTATTCCACCACCAGTATTATTGTATTATACATCACCATCATTTTATTCCACCAGTATCATTGTATTAGACATCAGGCTTCCATTCTTTTTGTATTCTATCCCTTCTAAGTTGCAAAAAATCTATGATTCATGAAACGTGTGGTACAAACATCCATGATTCATGAGACGTGTGGTACAAACATCCATGATTCATGAAACGTGTGGTACAAACATCCATGATTCATGAGATGTGTGGTACAAACATCCATGATTCATGAAACGTGTGGTACAAACATCCATGATTCATGAAATGTGTGGTACAAACATCCATGATTCATGAAACGTGTGGTACAAACATCCATGATTCATGAGACGTGTAGTACAAACATCAATGATTCATGAGACGTGTGGTACAAACATCCAGGAGATTTAAATACCTTACCACCCTTTATATACAAAAAAGTGTCACAAGTACTATCACCAATCATTGCAACACTCTTTAACAAATCCATTGAATCCTCCACCTTCCCTACAGCTCTCAAAATAGCAAGGGTCACCCCGATCCATAAAGGAGGAGACCAAACAGAGTTGAATAACTATAGGCCAATATCCAATTTACACCCTCTCTCAAAAATCTTCGAAAAATTAATTCATAAACGAATCTACTCCTACCTCATCTCCCAAAACATTCTCAACCCCTGCCAATTTGGATTCAGGCCTAATAAAAATACTAATGATGCTATTATACACATGCTAGAACATATATACACTGCAATAGAGAAAAAAGAAGTCCCACTGGGGATCTTCATTGACTTACGTAAAGCTTTTGATACAGTTGACCATGACTTGCTCCACGTAAAATTGTCACACTATGGTATTAGAGGGCACTCCCTCAACTACCTCAAGTCATACCTCAGCAACAGAAGCCAGTATGTGTATGCAAATGGGGCAAGCTCTTCCGCTCAACCAATTACAGATGGTGTCCCACAGGGAAGTGTCCTTGGCCCTCTTCTCTCTCTCCTATACATAAATGACCTACCAAATGCTTCGCAATTACTCAAACCCACACTATTTGCAGATGACACTACATACGTCTTCTCTCACCCGAGCCCAGTCATGCTAGCCAATACTGTAAACACCGATTTACAGAAAATATCTACCTGGATGAGGACTAACAAACTTACACTAAACATTGACAAAACCTACTTCATTCAGTTTGGTAACAGAGATACATATGTCCCTCTTAACATAATGATAAACGGATCACCTATCACAAAGCTAACAGAGGGAAAATTCTTAGGAATCCACCTTGATAATAGACTCAAATTTCATACACATATACAACAAATTTCTAAGAAAATTTCCAAGACTGTAGGCATACTATCGAAGATACGGTACTATGTTCTACAGTCAGCCCTCCTGGCCCTTTATCACTCTCTTATTTACCCCTATCTCACCTATGGAATTTGTGCATGGGGCTCAACAACAATTAACCATCTCAGACCACTAATTACCCAACAAAAGGCTGCAGTTAGAATGATAACAAATTCTCACTACAGGCAACACACTCCACCAATATTCAAAACACTAAACCTACTCACCATACAAAACATCCATACTTATTATTGCACCTATTACATACATAGAACACTTAACTCTGATATTAACCCTCCCCTCAAACATCTCCTTGCCAACCTCAACAGAACACATGACCATAACACAAGGCACAGATCACTCTTTGATGTTCCTCGTGTCCATCTCACGCTATGCAAAAACTCAATGCACATTAAAGGCCCTAAAATCTGGAATTCATTACCTGTAAATATAAAAGAAACACTACCTGTTTATAAATTCAGGTCTCTTCTCAAAGATCACTTACTCACTCAAAACCAAATAAATACTGAATAACTGAACCTTATAAATTGTATACCCTATATGTTACTCACAATTATATCACACAAATGTTAAACCTAGGACCCAATCTAACTTTATTATTTTTTTAAATACACTACCTAACAGAATACTCCATTCGACTGAATGTACAACAATGCATGCAGCCATATGACCTGTCTTTGTAATACTCACTTGTGCTTTATAGTTATCTGTTTACAATAATGTTTTATCACTGATTTCATCATTGCTTAGTTAATCTTAAGTTAATTTTAAGCCAGCCCGTAATGCTATGCATATAAGTGGCTTTGGCATGCTGCTCTTACCTGTATTTTTTTTGTACCTCTGTATGTATGCTAAAATTACTAAATAAATAAATAAATAAATTCATGAGACGTGGTACAAACATCCATGATTCATGAGACGTGTGGTACAAATATCCATAATTCACGACAACTCCCACTTTATATAAGATTCTTCATTTTTACAAGCCTACGTCTCTCATTATCACTCTAGTATTCACTTCTTTTATGAGCTCATCTCTAAACAAATTCAACAGCCTGAGTGACATTACACATCCCAGTCTCAGGTCCACTTTTACAAGGCCTTGTTGCCTACTTATCCTAACCAAAAAAACTGGTTACAGGTTTTAGTAAGCTAACTCTTGTTCCATACACGTGCAGTACCTGCCATTTTGTTTCTCTGTCCATCCTGTTATTATATACCTTTACAAAGTCATAAATGTTAACAAGTTTCTTATCCCCGTATACTCATTGTTTCTTAATTGTTTTATGATTTTAAACCTCAGCTAAAACCAGTTCTGTGTCCCTTCATCATTCTACCTGCCACTTTATATATCCATATTCTCATTGTCGCAAAAATATGTAATAACAATAACAAAAAAGGCACAATACAGTGACTGGAATGGTATTGCATTCTTGCTCCTACCCTCTGTGGGCCCTTAGCTCCCTTGCAGTGCTCCTCTTTCTTAGTATTTGACTGGCTCCACCTCCACAATACTACCTTCAACCTCCACTACCACCTCCTGGCCTATGTGTACTCCCTCCTTCTCTCCTTTTCGTCAGTGTGACTTTGTAAATGGTCCAAGTTGGACCGAAATGTCATCATAAGTTCTAAATGTTGGACAGAATAATAACCATGCCACTTATAAATTGAATAGTGGAGATCTTAATACTACTGATTGAGAAAAGGATTTAGGAGTTCTGGTAGGCAGTAATCTAAAACCAAGACAACAGTGCGTTAGTGTTTGCAATAAAGCTAACAGAATCCTTGGCTTCATATCAAGAAGTATAAATAATAGAAGTCCTCAGGTTGTTCTTCAACTCTTTATATCCTTGGTTAGGCCTCATTTTGATTATGCTACTCAGTTCTGGTTACCGTATTACCGAATGGATATAAATGCACTGGAAAACGTATAAAGGAGGATGACAAAGTTGATCCCATGTATTAGAAATCTTCCCTATGAGGATAGACTGAGGCCCTGAATCTGCACTCTCTCGAAAGACGTAGAATTAGGGGGGATATGATCGAGGTGTATAAAAAGAAAACAGGAATAAATAAAGGGGATGTAAATAGCGTGATAAAAATATCCTACTGGCCCATGCGAGGCAGGTCCAAGTCTCCTACCGGCTTAAGCCAATGCCCCAACCTAGTCAGGTCAGGTCACATTCACTTAAGGAAGGAACACGGAAACTGACCTAGTAGCACAAGCTAATCAGGTCCAACTCACACCCACCCACATCCACTCATGCATTTATCTAACCTATTTTTAAAACTACACAACGTTTTAGCCTCTATAACTGTACTCGGGAGTTTGTTCCACTCATCCACAACTCTATTACCAAACCAGTGCTTTCCTATATCCTTCCTAAATCTGAATTTTTCCAACTTAAAACCATTGCTACGAGTTCTGTCTAGGCTAGATATTTTCAGCACGTTATTTACATCCCCTTTATTTTTTCCTGTCTTCCATTTATATACCTCAATCATATCCCCCCTAATTCTATGCCTTTCTAGAGAGTGCAGATTCAGGGCCCTCAGTCTATCCTCATAGGGAAGATTTCTGATTCATGGGATCAACTTTGTCATCCTCCTTTGTACGTTTTCCAGAGCATTTATATCCATTCTGTAATACGGTGACCAAAACTGTGCAGCATAATCTAAACGAGGCCTAACCAAGGATATATAGAGTTGAAGAACAACCTGGGGACTCCTATTATCCATGCTTCTTGATACGAAGCCAAGGATTCTGTTAGCTTTATTACGAACACTAATGCACTATTGTCTTGGTTTCAGATTACTGCTAACCAGAACTCCTAAATCTTTCTCGCAATCCATAATATTAAGATCTACATTATTTAGTTTGTATGTGGCATGGTTATTTTCCTGTCCAACATTTAGAACTTTGCATTTGTCTATATTAAACTGCATCTGCCACTTCTCCGACCACTGCATCAGTCTATTCAAATCTTCCTGGAGTGCTCTAATGTCCTCGTCAAAATGAATTCGACAGCCTATTTTGCTATCATCGGCAAACTTGCTTATGTCGCTCTTTATGCCCTCATCAATGTCGTTTATGTAGATTGTGAACAACAGGGGGCCCAACACTGACCCCTGTGGAACACCGCTTGTGATGCTTCCTCACTCTAATTTCTCCCCATTTATGCAAACTCTCTGCTGCCTATTTGTCAACCATGCCTCTATCCAGGAAAAAAATTCTCCTATTCCATGTGCCTTAATTTTCCTCAATAGTCTCTGATGTGGGACTCTGTCAAAAGCCTTACTGAAGTCCATATACACAATATCATATTCATTACCATGATCTACCTCCTCAAATACCTTAGTGAAAAAAGTTAATAAATTCGTAAGACAGGAACGCTCCTTTGTAAAACCATGCTAAGATTCATTGATCTATGCCTATCAAGATGGCTACGAATTGCCTCGGTAATTATTGATTCCATAAATTTTCCCACTATAGTTCGAAGCCAAGGACCTGTCACCTGCCTTGTAAATAGGTATTACATTTGCCATTTTCCACTTATCAGGCACTATGCCAGTTTGTAGTGATATGTTAAAAAGATTAGCCAAAGGTATGCTAAGTTCCTCTTTACATTCCTTTAACACCCTTGCAAACAGTTCATCAGGGCTTGGGGATTTGTTAGGTTTTAGTTTCTCTATTTGTCTGAGGACCATGTCACTAGTTACCGCAATCGTGCATAGTTTATTATCATCCTGTTCTACATAATCTATTATTTCAGGAATATCGCTAGTATTTTCCTGGGTGAAAACTGAGAGGAAGTAGGTATTGAGAATTTCACACATATCCTTATCACTGTCAGTGATCTGACCAGAGTTACTCTTAAGTGGGCTAGTCTTGTCCCTAATCTTACTTCTGTATACCTGAAAGAACCCTTTTGGGTTAGTCTTTGAATCCCTTGCGACCTTAGCCTCATAATCCCTTTTTGCTTTTCTTATTCCTTTTTTTATTTCTCTCTTTAATTGAATATATTGATTTCTTAACTGCCCATCCCCTCTTTTGATACACCTAAAAATGCCTCTCTTTTGACCAATGAGATGTTTTAATCTATTGTTCATCCATTTGGGGTCATTTTTGTTAGATCTAATTTCCCTACTCGGAACAAAAGTTGTCTGGGCAGCTAGAACTATGCTCTGAAAAACGTCATATAGGCAACCAAGATCACCTACCTGACCTATAGTCAGGACATCCCAATTTAGCCCACCCAGGTAATTTTTCAGTCCCATGAAGTCGGCCAAGCGAAAATCTGGGACAGAGATTTGACTGCAGTTATCTGGGTAATTCCATGATATATTGAAACTAAGTGATTTGTGATCACTTTCCCCAAGCTCATCATTAACCTCAAGATTATTAATTGGTGAATCTTTGTTGGCAAGAACCAAGTCAAGCAGATTGTTTCCTCTAGTTGGTTCTGTCACTAACTATTTTAAAAAGCAATCCTGAACCGTATCAAGAAAGTCACTAAACTCAAGATTTCTTGTCATATTGTTCTAATCAATTTGTCTAAAGTTAAAATCTCCCATTATCACAACATTTTCATATCTAGAATTTCGTCCCATAACAACTTACTGTTATCTAACTTTCTCTGTACTTCTAGCTCTAATATCTGTGAAGTTTCTCATACCTCATGAATTATCCACATCTTTAGTAGTCACATTTTAATTATATTTCTATATCTGTTTTACATATTTTCTTCAATTATGTTATTTTTTCGTGGATCAGGTGAAGACTCGTGGTAACGCGAGGCTGATGGTGGCTGCTACGTTCATGGTGACTTGTGCTGCTGGTGTACACGTGATGCGAGCCTCCCTCACTCCTCACACCTCCCAGGTATGTGTTGCACCTTGTTTTACACTAACTACTTCAGTGTTTTAGTAACTTGCTAGTGTTGCAGCATCTAGGTACAATGTTGTGTTGTAGCGTTGTCTTGTGTCACACAGGTGGTGGTGGTGTCAGTGGTTAGCATGTTGTCAATAGCCAGTGATAACTCGGTATAACGTTGTCATGTGTTACACAGGCAGTGGTATCAGTTGTTGGCATGGTGTTGGGTGCCAGTATGTACGGACCAATCTCCATCTACGGCATCGTGGCGTCAGAGTCCTTCCCCACCCATCTCTCAGGCACTGCACACGCTGTCGTCGCTCTGGCTGCTAATGGTGAGAGCCCTTTGATGTGTGGGTAAGAGGTACCGGATGTGGGTGTGGGTAAGAGGTACTGGGTGTGGGTGTGGGTATTTGTGAGGGCTGTGGAAGGTGTGTCATTAGTAATTTCCTCATCACTCAACCTATCACGTCTAAATACATTCCCACGCCTTAATCCAATGTTCCCACATCTGATCATAATATTTCCTCGTTTAATACATTCCCAATAGTCCCATGTCTGTGTACAACATTCACACGTCTGTGTACAACATTCACACGTCTGTGTACAACATTCACACGTCTGTGTACAACATTCACACGTCTGTGTACAACATTCACACGTCTGTGTACAACATTCACACGTCTGTGTACAACATTCACACGTCTGTGTACAACATTCACACGTCTGTGTACAACATTCACACGTCTGTGTACAACATTCACACGTCTGTGTACAACATTCACACGTCTATGTACAACATTCACACGTCTGTGTACAACATTCACATGTCTGTGTACAACATTCACACGTCTGTGTACAACATTCACATGTCTGTGTACAACATTCACACGTCTGTGTACAACATTCACACGTCTGTGTACAACATTCACATGTCTGTGTGCAACATTCACACATCTGTGTTCAACATTCACACATCTGTGTTCAACATTCACATGTCTGTGTACAACATTCACACGTCTGTGTACAACATTCACATGTCTGTGTGCAACATTCACACATCTGTGTTCAACATTCACACATCTGTGTTCAACATTCACACATCTGTGTTCAACATTCACATGTCTGTACAACATTCACATGTCTGTGTACATCATTCACATGTCTGTGTACAACATTCACATGTCTGTGTACACCATTCACATGTCTGTGTACACCATTCACATGTCTGTGTACACCATTCACATGTCTGTGTACAACATTCACACGTCTGTGTACAACATTCACATGTCTGTGTACAACATTCACACATCTGTGTTCAACATTCACATGTCTGTGTACAACATTCACATGTCTGTGTACAACATTCACATGTCTGTGTACAACATTCACATGTTTGTATAACATTCACACATCTGTGTTCAACATTCACATGTCTGTGTACAACATTCACATGTCTGTGTACAACATTCACATGTCTGTGTACAACATTCACACATCTCTGTTCAACATTCACACGTCTGTGTACAACATTCACATGTCTGTGTACAACATTGAATGTGTACAACATTCACACGTCTGTGTACAGCATTCACATGTCTGTGTACAACATTCACACGTCTGTGTACAACATTCACATGTCTGTGTACAACATTCACACGTCTGTGTACAACATTCATATGTCTGTGTGCAACATTCACATGTCTGTGTACAACATTCACATGTCTGTGTACAACATTCACATGTCTGTGTACAACATTCACATGTCTGTGTACAACATTCACACGTCTGTGTACAACATTCACATGTCTGTGTACAACATTCACACGTCTGTGTACAACATTCATATGTCTGTGTGCAACATTCACACATCTGTGTTCAACACTCACACATCTGTGTTCAACATTCACATGTCTGTGTACAACATTCTCATGTCTGTGTACATCATTCACATGTCTGTGTACAACATTCACATGTCTGTGTACACCATTCACATGTCTGTGTATAACATTCACACATCTGTTTACAACATTCACACGTCTGTGTACAACATTCACATGTCTGTGTACAACATTCACATGTCTGTGTACAACATTCACACATCTGTGTTCAACATTCACATGTCTGTGTACAACATTCACATGTCTGTGTACAACATTCACATGTCTGTGTACAACATTCACATGTCTGTGTATAACATTCACACATCTGTGTACAACATTCACATGTCTGTACACCATTCACATGTCTGTGTACAACATTCACATGTCTGTGTACAACATTCACACGTCTATGTACAGCATTCACATGTCTGTGTACAACATTCACATGTCTGTGTACAACATTCACACGTCTATGTACAGCATTCACACGTCTATGTACAACATTCACATGTCTGTGTACAGCATTCACATGTCTGTGTACAACATTCACACGTCTGTGTACAACATTCACACGTCTGTGTACAGCATTCACATGTCTGTGTACAACATTCACATGTCTGTGTACAACATTCACATGTCTGTGTACAACATTCACACATCTGTGTTCAACATTCACACATCTGTGTACAACATTCACATGTCTGTGTACAACATTCACACGTCTGTGTACAACATTCACACGTCTGTGTACAACATTCACATGTCTGTGTACAACATTCACATGTCTGAGCATCATGTGTTTGTACAAAGAAACTAGAATACCACCTGTACATTGAAGTTTCCAGATTTCCTTGGCAAGGTCCGAGGGTGTCTACACACCTCCCCTCACAGCACGCCCTCGTGTGTGTATGTGCGCGCGCGCGCTAGTGTGGGTGTATGACCCACTTAATATTTGTATTTATAACTCATTACAATTGTGACCAGGTGTGGACGTATCAGTGGTTCATTACTTTGTAATTTATTCATGACTGCAACCATGTATAGGAATGAGGCTGATTCATTACCTTTGTAACTTGCCATGATTGTGACCAGATCTACCAGGAGTTCATTACCTTTGTAACTAGTTCAGCTATCATAACTTTGGGGTCCAGTCCCTGGACCCATTATGTACCTTTGTAATCTTTTGACTACCGCCCACAGGATGGGTATGGGGTGCATAATAAAGATATTAAACTAAACCCTCACAGCACTCCAAAGCCACAAATGCAAGTGATGAGACACATTTGGTCTTTGTCCACTGTGGTGATAACTACATGTATCTCATTTGGACACTGCGCAGTGTGAGTGAACACTTGTGGTTACTGCCACTTCGTATAGTCCCCTGGTCGTCACATCTAAGTATCTCTCACACTGTCCTAACTTTTACTAGTACAGTATTATTTAAATTTGCCTCAGGACAATGTTGTGTTTGTGTTACAGTTGGAGCTGTTGCTGCTGGTTGGCCGCTGAGCTGGGTAGCCAAGACATGGTCATGGAGTGGGGTACTACTGCTGCTGGAGACTATGGCAGCCTCCTCCGTTCTCCTTATCCTCTCCACCTCTTCCAAACACCTCACACCCAAGCTCAAGACAGCCTAAATGAACCTCTCCATGCAGGAATTGTCTTACTACCCAGAAGTCGCGATGTAGTGTTGACACTACCTGGAAGTTCAGACTGCTTACTTGGATGTATTAATATGATCCAAGAGATGATTGGAGAGGCTACTGAATGGACCAGATCTGTGTTATAGCTCACTGACACAAGATCATCCAACTCTCCTGGGATCTTTCAGTTCGTGATCTTAACGCCACTATAACACTAGTAAAATTACTTTATTACATTCGATATATATATTTATTTTCTTAAAGCAAAAATCTATGCTATGCTCCCTTTACCACTTATTTGATTAAGCAATCCATTTCTTGCAATACTTAAGAGTTATTCTAAACTAAAAGCAAATTTCCAGCAATTGCTGCCTCATGAGATACAAATGACAATCTCTGAGTTTAGCACATGCTAAGTAAGGAAATCCAGCAATGGTAGAGTGCATGATGTGCAATTTACAGTGAGGGTGTGTGCCTCAGGGGAAAGAAATGTGTGTATACATTACATGCAAACGTGTATCCACTTAAACTCTTAGTTTAACAACAACTTTCTTGACAACACTCACCCGTGAGGTGTAAGTGGCAGTATACAACAGTCACCTGAGTGGTACAAGAGGCAGCCAGGCCTCAACCCTCACCTGAGAGGTACAAGAGGCAGCCAGGCCTCAACACTCACCTGAGTGGTACAAGAGGCAGCCTGGCCTCAACACTCACCTGAGAGGTACAAGAGGCAGCCAGGCCTCAACACTCACCTGAGTGGTACAAGAGGCAGCCTGGCCTCAACACTCACCTGAGAGGTACAAGAGGCAGCCAGGCCTCAACACTCACCTGAGTGGTACAAGAGGCAGCCAGGCCTCAACACTCACCTGAGAGGTACAAGAGGCAGCCAGGCCTCAACACTCACCTGAGAGGTACAAGAGGCAGCCAGGCCTCAATGCTCACCTGAGAGGTACAAGAGGCAGCCAGGCCTCAACACTCACCTGAGAGGCACAAGAGGCAGCCAGGCCTCAACACTCACCTGAGAGGTACGAGAGGCAGCCAGGCCTCAACACTCACCTGAGAGGTACGAGAGGCAGCCAGTCCTCAACACTCACCTGAGAGGTACAAGAGGCAGCTTGGCCTCAACACTCACCTGAATGGTACAAGAGGCAGCCTGGCCTCAACACTCACCTGAGAGGTACAAGAGGCAGCCAGGCCTCAACCCTCACCTGAGAGGTACAAGAGGCAGCCTGGCCTCAACACTCACCTGAGAAGTACAAGAGGCAGTTTGGCCTCAACACTCACCTAAGTGGTACAAGAGGCAGCCTGGCCTCAACACTCACCTGAGAGGTAAAAGAAGCAGCAGCCTGGCCTCAACATTCACCTAAGTGGTACAAGAGGCAGCCAGGCCTCAACACTCACCTGAGAGGTACAAGAGACATCCTGGCCTCAACACTCACCTGAGAGGTAAAAGAAGTGGCAGCCTGGCCTCAACACTCACTTGAGTGGTACAAGAGGTGGCAGCCTGGCCTCAACACTCACCCGAGTGGTACAAGGGGCGGCAGCTTGTCCTCAACACTCACCTGAGTGGTACAAGAGGTGGCAGCCTGGCCTCAACACTTACCTGAGTGGTACAAGAGATGGCAGCCTGGCCTCAACATTCACTTGAGAGGTACAAGAGGCGGCAGCCTGGCCTTAACACTCACCTGAGTGGTACAAGAGGTGGCAGCCTGGCCTCAACACTCACCTGAGTGGTACAAGAGGTGGCAGCCTGGCCTCAACACTCACCTGAGTGGTACAAGAGGCGGCAGCCTGGTCTTAACACTCACCTGAGTGGTACAAGAGGTGGCAGCCTGGCCTCAACACTCACCTGAGTGGTACAAGAGGTGGCAGCCTGGCCTCAACACTCATCTGAGTGGTACAAGAGGCGGCAGCCTGGTCTTAACACTCACCTGAGTGGTACAAGAGGTGGCAGCCTGGCCTCAACATTCACCTGAGAGGTACTAGAGGCAGCCTGGACCAGGGTGAGACCTGGTTGACGACCTGGGTCCTTACCTCACATTCCACCTTACTAGACTAGAGAAATAATTTCCACTAAGGAAACACACACAGTGCGGATCAGAGGAGATGGACATAGTAGTATGTGTAAATTTATTGTAAATGTGTAAAAATAGTGCTCGTAAAATAAAATAATATGTAAATATAATATTATTTTTTTGACAGTGAAAAAGTATTGAGAGCGTGACTGAAGACTGACACCTATATTTGTATATTAATATACTGTATTTACTTATTAAATGCTCGAGGCACATCCCCCTATGAAAAAAGAAGAAAGATGTAAACTAAAGATGATCCATATACAAATGAAGGTAAAGAATCACAGAGCTCCTGAAAGAGGCCAATATATCTGAGATACGGAAGGAGGCACTGGTTAGATTAGAGATTAGATTTTGCCACCGAAGTGACTAGTTTGTGCACCCCATATCCATCCTGTGGACGGTAGCGCAAGAGCATGTGGATATACAAAAGGCCTAGAACTAGGCCCCAAAAGGGTTAACAGGTCTACATATCTACAGTTCACTTATCTGTTACAAGCAAATTTAGGAATTTTGCTTAGTATATCTGGTATCTTATTTTCATTAATAAGATATCTTGACATGTTACATAGGTTATTATACTGTCTGTCTCTGTATTCCTCAGTAAGTGGACAATTAAGCACAAAGTGCTCAAGACAGTGACCATATCCCTGACCACATAATTAGCATTTAGTTTGATCATTATCTGTGTGTCTCCCAAACTGCCAGAAGTACTTGTAACCAAGCCTAAGCCTGGCCACTACAACATCAGTCAGTTCTTGTAACCAAGCCTAAGCCTGGCCACTACAACATCAGTCAGTACTTGTAACCAAGCCTAAGCCTGGCCACTACAACATCAGTCAGTACTTGTAACCAAGCCTAAGCCTGGCCACTACAACATCAGTCAGTTCTTGTAACCAAGCTTAAGCCTGGCCACTACAACATCAGTCAGTACTTGTAACTAAGTCTAAGCCTGGCCACTACAACATCAGTCAGTACTTGTAACTAAGTCTATTAACTAGTCTATGTAACAACGTCTATTAACTAGACTTTCCAACAACATCCAAACTACACTAGTAAGATCAATGGGTCGATAGTGGGAGGCATCATGGCCCGAAGTGCCTACCTGGTTTATGAAAAGACAGAACAATAGCAGTTTTCCATGGATGGGAGGAACTCTTGTGACCAAACAAGATTTAAAAATGTAAGAGGGCTACGAGGGCTGTCGGAAGTAAATGTTGAAGCATACTAATATGAATGCCATCAGGTCCAGCTGCTGACGATCGGCAAATGGGAAGTGTTGACTCAAGTTCTAGATGTGTAAAAGGCACATTATTAGACTCTTCTCTGCTAGAAGAAAAGTCTAAACGTGGTAACTTTTTGGTAGACTTGGAGGAAAGAAATGAGGAGCATAGATGGGGCCCTGAGAGATACAGACAAGATAATTTCCAATTGCTGTAACAACTGTAGACTGTCTACATCGTCTTCACATCTCAACTGCTCCTGCCAACTTTTCTGTACACGACTGAAGAAGCCTACTGTATATGCGAAACTTTTTGGAATAAAGATGCCTAACTGTTGCATGTGTATTACCTACCAACCTGTCGGTATTGTTTACCATTTTGATATTCAGGATTTACAATGCTGACACCAGCAACCCTAAGAACGGGAGATGGATCTAGAGAATATTTGCCTCTCAGCTTCTGCAATTTTTTACAAACTGCACTCATAGAGGAAGTGCAAGTGACATTAGAAACAATCCCACCAACAAGTGCATTTTGCATTTTGTTGGGCAACTGCGTTTGCTTGCTTTAAATCAAAGCGTTACCCTGTGGCCCTACTGTAGGCCCCACATATAATCAAGGAGTTGGCCCAGGGCATCACCAGACCTCTGCACACCACTGATCGGCCCCTATGCAGCACGTTTCAGACGCACTGCATGAACACAAGTAAGATAACACCAAGGCACACGTTTCTGAGAGTCCTTACTCGAGGTTTGAGGGATTGTATTTGAAGCTACAGTTAAAACAGAGGTCGTAAATAATTGTAATAGGCTATTAGCTCATCATTAAAAGATAAAGGAGAAGGTTCCTCACTAAAAACTGACGCAAGTAAAGGGCCCAATTTGCCCGTTCAAACTGCCAACGTGGGCTACAAAGTTGAGAATGTGAATGGGAAGTAAGGAGAGTAGGAAAATGATCACAGTCCAGGTAAAGCCAAGTGCAGTTGAAGAGGAGAAATTTGAGAGATGTATGCATGTGTGTTTGAGTGCGAAGGTCAAAATGAGTGGGAGTACTTGTATTTAAAACATGGAGAGGAAAAGAAGCAAGAAAAGTCTCTAACTGATCACCATAAGAGTCACAGTGAGGAAATGATGAGCATTAAAATCACCTAATAAGAGGAGAGGTGGAGGTTGAGAAGAAACCAGAAATTCAACGTCATGAATAGATAATGGAAGAGGAGAACGATACAAAGAGCAGATACGGATTGCAGTATAACGCAGTGAAGTATGAACAAAGAAGCGTACAAGAAGTGAACTTTCATTCAAAGTCCCACCGGAAAGGGATCCAATGAATGCAATAAGATACATGCGGAGATGGTTTCAATTGTTTCAGAAGAGAGAGAAGCTGCAGGAAGCATAGTGTCGGAGGTAGAGAATGTAGGTTGAGTAAAGCTTGGAGAGACAATGGAAGTTACCGAAGAAGTGGGAGACGAGATGTTAGAGATATCTTGTGAAGAAATTTGAGCGGGGACAGGATAAGAAGTGTACGAGAGGGTAGATGAACCTCCACAAAAAGGGACACTACAATAAGGTGGGTCTGGGCCCAGATACAGGAAAGTAAAATTTTTGGGAAATGTATGTGATTGAGGGGTTAAAAAAATATTTGTATTTTGGGTGAATTTAGATTTGGGAGAAGTGGGGATGTAGGTAAGGGTTGTTGGGGGGAGATCTTAAGACGAGAAAATGCAAGGAAAAGCGATAGTAGGACAGACGGGGAGGAACTCAACCTGGACTCAAAAGTGTTAGAACAGAGGTGTGTGGGAATTTGTACTACAGAGGAGTTGTGGAGGTGTTAAAACTGGGAAAAAAAAGCCATGGAAGTCTCCTTGAGGCGAAGAGGGGAGAATGCCTGGGTAAGAGAAACCCCTTTTTTCTTTTGGGAACAATGGAGTTCTCGTGTTTTAAAAACCTTTTCAACGGAAATAAAAGCTGGGTGACCCTCTTTACAATAAGGAAAGAGGGGGGTTGGTTTACAGGAGGGATTGCTAGGTCAGCAGCAACACAGACTGGGCATTCTCCATACACCTGAAATGTTTTACTAGGTGGCCAAAGCGCCGCAATTTCTACTTATTGTGGTATGGGATAAATTCCTATTTTGAAAAAGGGTTCCCGCAAAATAAACGAGGAGGGAAGTTACGCAGTCAAAGGTTATCGTTATTCGGAAAAAACATAAAGACCGCCAGGTAAGTGTCCACTTTAAGAACTAGAATCCGGGGGCTTACACTCACCCAAGTGTAAGTTAAAATTATTTATATTGTTATTGCCTTTTTAAATCTTAAGTTTCCCAAAATTCTCTGCATTATACAGGATTTTTGATGTACCCTAAATGTCATTCACCATTGTAAAAAACCTTGTTTATTATTATTATTATTATTTTATTTTTATTATTATTATTATTATTATTTTATTGTTAATAATAATAATAATAAAAATAATAAAAATAATAATATTTTTATTTTTATTAATTTTATTTTATTATTATTTTATTATTATTTTTATTATTATTATTTTTTTTTATTATTTTTTTATTATTATTATTTTTAATAATAATAATAATAATAATAATAATAATAAAATAAAATACCCCCTGGGTAGCAATTTTGGGTTTAAAGGCTTTAAATTTTTGAGCCCTTAAAAACAACCCCAACAAAAACCCAGTGTTGCTGCTGTGTTTTCCATGCTGTTAGTCCTTTGGCTTGCGCTTCTTTTTTTATTAAAATAATAACGCTGCTGTTTGTTGCTGTTTTAAGGGTGCTGCCCCACTGCTGTTGCTGTTTCTCTTGCGGTAATATTTTCAAATTAAAACCGTTTATGGCTTCTTCGCGGGATAGCCCCTTTTGGTTTAGCGCTTCTTTTTGAGTATAATAATAATTGGTTTTTTTTCCAGATATGAGAAATGATTATGCTGTTGAGTGTACCATGATGGTGTTACCATATGTACCATGATGGTGGGGTACCCTGATGGTGGGGGGGACCGTGATGGTGTGTACCATGTGGTGTTACCATGATGTACCATGATGGGTGTACCTGTGGGGTGTACCATATGTACCTGATGGTGGTCCTGATGGTGTGTCCGGTGGTGTGTACCATGGGGTTTCCATATGGTGTGTACCATTTTTACCATGATGGTGTGTACCTATGGTGTGTACCTTTTGGGGGTGTACCATGGGGTGTACCCTGATGGTGTGTACCCTGTGGGTGTACCATGGGTGTACCTGTGGGTGTACCTTTATGGTGTGTACCTGATGTGTGTCCGTATGGGTGTCCCCGGGGGGTACCATTATGGGGGGACCCCTGATGTGTACCAGATGGTGTGTACCGTGAGGTGTGTACCTGTGGGGTGTACCGTTTGGGTTACCCTGGTTTTGTACCCCGTGGTGTGTACCATGATGGTGTGTCCTGATGGTGTGTACCCGGTGTTTTACCCTTAGGTTGTACCATTGTGTCCATGATGGTGTGTACCCCGGTTGTACCATGATGGTGTGTACCATGATGTGTACCATGTGGTGTGTTTCCCTTTATGTTGTGTTCCTTTGGGGTTTTACCATGGGGTGTGTACCATGATGGTGTGTACATGGTGTGTACCTGATGTGTACCATGATGGTGTGTTCCCGATGGGTGTACCATGGGGTGTACCATGATGTTTCCAGATGGTGTGTACCCTGGTGTGTTCCCTGTTTTGTACCAGTGGGGTGACCATGTGGTGTGTACCATGTGGTGTGTACCTGATGGTGTGTACCATGATGGTGTGTACCATGATGGTGGTACATGATGGTGTACCCTGGTGTGTCCATGATGGTGTGTACCTGATGGGGTGTACCATGATGGTGTGTACCATGATGGGGTTCATGAGGTACCATGATGGTGTGTACCAGATGGTGTGTACCATGGTGTGTACCATATGTGTACCTGATGGTGTGCCATGAGGTGTGACCTGATGGTGTGTAAAATGGTGTGTACCATGATGGTCCATATGGTGTGTACCCTGGTTTGTTTCCATGATGTTACCATGATGGTGTGTACCTGATGGTGTGTACCAGGTGTCCATATGGTGTTTTACCATGTGTACCATGGTGGTACCATGGTGTTACCTGATGTGTACCATGGGTGTTTCCATGATGTTTTACCATGTGGGGTGTACCATGGTGTGTACCATGATGTGTACCATGTGGTGTGTACCATGATGGTGTGTCCACGGTGTGTACCTGATGGTGTGTACCAGATGGTTTGTACCTGGTTGTACTGATGGGTGTACCTGATGGTGTGTACCATGATGGGGGGTACCATGGGTGTCCCTGATGGGGTACCCTGATGGGGTGTTACCCTGATGGTGTGTACCATGATGGTGTTACCATGATGGTGGTACCCTGATGGTGTGTACCATGTGGGTGTTTTCCATGATTTTTGTACCATGATGGTGTGCACCATGATGGGGTGTCCATGATGGTGTTACCTGGTGTGTACCTGATGGTGTGTACCATATGGTGTGTCCAGGTGTGTACCATGTGGTGGTCCATGTGGGTGTCCATGAGGGGTGAACTTTAGGTGTCCATGATGGTGTACCTGATGGTGTGTACCATGATGTTACCATGATGGTGTGTACCATGATGTGTACCATGGGTGGTGTACCATGGTGTACCATGAGGGGGTGTACCCTGATGTGTACCATGAGGTTGTTACCATGGGTGTACCTGGGTGTGTCCTGTGGGTGTACCTGTGGTGTTACCAGAGATGTGACCATGATGATGTGTACCAGATGGTGTTACCATGGTGTGTTTTTATGTGGTGGTTCCTGATGTGACCATGTGGTGTGTACCATGGGTGTACCCTGATGGTGTGTACCATGAGTGTACAAAGGTGTGACCATGATGGTGTGTACCCTGATGATTGTACCCTTTGGTGTGTACCCTGATGGGGTGACCATGATGGGGTGTACCCTGAGGTGTGTCCATGGTGTTACCATTGGGGTGCCAAAATGGTGTGTTACCATGATGGTGTGTACCCTGGTGTGTACCATGATGTGTACCTGATGGTGGTACCATGATGGTGGTACCTGATGGTGTAAACCTGATGGGTATACCATGATGGTGTTTTCCATGTGTGTACCATGATGGGGTGTACCATGATGGGGTTTTTACCTGGGGTTAAATTTGGGGTGTACCCTGTCTTGTGTACCTGATGTGTCCTGATGGTGTGTTCCATGATGGTGTGTACTTTGATGGTGTGTCCTGGGGGTACCTGTGGTGTGTACCATGATGTGTCCATGGGTGGTACCCTGATGGTGTGTCCTGTGGTGTG